AAAATTAACAGTAAACATATTTAATAAACAGAAGAAATATATAATATGCCCAAACAAAAGAGCAAAATGACATCCGATAAGCATTCTTTACATTGAATGGAAAGGTAAAGCTTTTGTATTTGCATTGTGTCGTGTTGGGTCCAAGGCTATTCTATATGTTAACGAAACCAATGAAAGAAAAAGTTAATGATATTAGGACCGACACAGAATTTTATAGAATAAAGTATATAAATAGTAGTTATAAGTTATTATTTTATTGAGTCTTTTAATTATTAAAAGTTATAAATGGTCTTATAATTATATAACACAATTTTATTGAGTCCCTTAACTATAAAAGTTACAAAATATTCTTGGCAATTTATATGTTCTAAACTCATTTTTTGTTTGTTAGAAAAGTGATGGTCTTTTGAGCTAAACATTAATCTGCTGATTGAGATATAATAAAATCATATTTTAATGATGTCTACTAGCACCATCGTTGCTTTTAACCACTGACTAAACAACATAATGTTTCAAGCACTGACTCAACAATATAATATAAACAGATAGTTGATCTATAAAATACAGCTCAAACAATTCTGAAATCAAATATTAGCATATTTAGTCAACAAGTTAACATCCATAGAAGACCATCATTTTGTAACTTTTAATAGACAAATGACTCAACAAAGTAATATCTTATAGTCGGGCGACCTTTTGTGTACTTTACCCAATTTTATATTAGGATGAATTTATAACATTTTAAAAGACGAAAATAAATTATTAATAAAAATTATAAAAAGTATCTATATGAGAATATGAAGTTTTAGGAAATTAGTTTTTTTTATTTCTTTTACAGCTCTCTCATCCCTAGTACTAATTTCCATTGTACCTTCCTCAAGGACGAATCATGTGATCTCAATAGTTAAAGGACTTGTTATCTGTTGAGGGCTCCAAGTTCGAGCACCAAAATTATTAAAAGTCTGAATGTTCAGTGTTAAATGATTGAGAATATTTGAACATATATTATCTTGTATTTTTTCTATATGTATAAAAAAAGTATACCTTCCTCAAGAAAGAGGAGATGACAGAATCGAATTCGATTTATGGTTCAAATCAAACTCCAACAGTCTACGATCTCAACCAAGTCCTTTTAGTAGAACACTTAAGCCCATGTATTTGAATTGGGTAGAAGAAGTAGCAGGCTCTTGGTGCCTTCAATTTGGGGCGTTATTGGACCACCGTACACCCTTCCCCCCCCCCCACCCAAAAAAAAAACAACAATAGGCCTTTGCAGTTGTGTAAAGCAAAGACCGCTAAAGTTTAGATATTTTAGCTTGTGAAACGCAAATTCTACCCTGTTTCATCGCAGAATGGCAAATTCCAACGTGAAGCAAGCACTGGGCGATCTGAACAAGGAATCCTTTGTCTCACTTCTAGCAAAGATCATAGGGGAATCCAAGTTCCTTCAAAACAACCCTCCAGAACTGATCCCAGAAGAAGACAGGGTGGTGAACCATGTACTAGATTGTCTCCGCCCTTACAGCACAGCTACTGGGGGAGGACCTTTGCTTATTAACCATGTTACTTATTTCCCTGGAAGAGGCAATCTCATTGTGGAGTATCCTGGAACCGAACCTGGGAAGATCTTGTCTTTTGTTGGTATGCATATGGATGTTGTCACCGCTAACCCCAATGATTTGGGTACTCTTTCATTCTTGTTTTTACTGTTTTTTGAAGTTCCATTTTTTCGTTAAAAGAAAGGTTGTTGCATTTCTGGGGTTTCATTGCTCAATTTCTTATTTTTCTGGGTTTGGTTTGCATTGGATATATAATTGTATTTGAGTTGGTGAAGATTTTTTCCTTCCCTTTTGTTGGGAGAGTTTTGATTTTTTTTAATACTACGGGTTTAGCCGTGTGGATTTGGTTAATTTCAGCCCTTCTTTTGTTTGAATTTTGGTTTCGGAACATAAAAATAAAGTTTTGTTTGCTTTTCCCTTTATTTTTTTGTTCATGGGGTCGATTTGAATTAGCTTTCAATGCTTGAGGATTGATTAGGAATAAAATCTGAATGTTAGAAATGAAATGCGTTGATGGTTTTACATTATATGATAATTGCATTTTCAGGATTTTGATCCTTTCTCGTTGAGCATTGACGGTGACAATCTTCGCGGCCGTGGAACTACTGATTGTTTGGGACATGTTGCCCTTGTAACTGAACTAATGAAGAGACTCGCTGAGACAAAACTGAAATTAAAAACAACTGTCGTTGCAGTTTTTATAGCCAACGAAGAGAACTCAGCAATTACTGGAGTCGGTGTTGATGCACTAGTGAAGGCTGGTCTGCTTGATAAGCTGAAGGGAGGCCCGCTGTGCGTACTTCCATATCTCAAAGAAGAAATACTGAGTATTTTTAGTATGAAGCATGTTTCAAATGTTAAAAGAATAAAGCCCATCATTGTTTGTCCTGTCTTCTTTACTAATTCATATGATATCACAGTTTCTGGATTGATACAGCTGATAAGCAACCTTGCATTGGTACTGGTGGCATGATACCCTGGAAACTTCACGTGACGGGGAAGCTTTTTCACAGTGGTTTAGCGCACAAGGTATACGATATTGCCTAATCAAAATATAATCATTCTTTATCAAACAAACTATAACCTGTTAAAATAGTTGGTGGTTATTTGGTTTTTCCATTCTCCATTAATTTTGAAGTTGTTAATTGTCTGCAGGCTATAAATGCATTGGAGCTGGGCATGGAAGCACTTAAAGAAATCCAACTGCGGTTTTATAAGGACTTTCCTCCTCATCCAAATGAACAAGTATATGGATTTGCTACACCATCAACCATGAAACCAACACAATGGAGTTGTAAGTTTTAAACCTAAGATTAGCATGTTATTCTTGAGAATAAAGGTTGTTCATCAACAAAGTTCTTTAGTGCAGATCCAGGTGGTGGAATCAATCAAATTCCCGGAGAGTGTACAGTATCAGGGGATGTCAGGTTGGTTACATTTTCAGAATGTTCGTAGATTCTCTTGACATAAAATGTGTTCTTACTTGGACCGTTGTTTCGGGCAGGTTAACTCCTTTCTACAAGTAAGCATCCCTCAAACTTGATTACATCTTTTACACCTTTCAAGTTATTTGCCGGTGGAAGATCTTTTATTCTTTCCCAAATAGAATTGCCAATCGGTATTTCGTCTTTGAGAATTTTCATTACTCTGTCTCAGTGTAAAAGATTTAATGATGAAGCTTCAAGAATATGTAGATTACATAAATGAAAATATAGGAAAACTAGACACACGGGGTCCGGTTTCAAAATATATCCTTCATGATGAAAACATTAGAGGAAGGTATGCCCTTTTTCCGCTTTTTTAGTAAAACAAATTTGTTCTAGACGAAGTTAAGGTTTTCATTTACACTATATCTGTTTACAGCCTTACCTTGACTTTTGATGAGGCAATGGCTGGAGTTGCTTGTGACCTTGATTCTCGTGGATTCCATGTATTGTGCAAAGCTACTGAAGAGGCAGTTGGGCATGTGAAGCCTTACTCAATTACTGGAAGTTTGCCACTCATTCGAGAGTTGAAAGTGAGATATATACATGGACATATACATCTTTTACCAGCATATATATACATATATAGTATGTAGTTCCTGGTTTCTTAGAAACAGTCATTAGCTAATTGTTTTTGCTCATTTTGTCAGGATGAAGGTTTTGACGTACAAACCGCTGGCTATGGTATGAGAACATTATCACATTATGCATTTTGCGCTTAAGTTAGTAAAATCTATAGCATATAGTGAGAGCCTTTACTGTATCTTAATGCTTTAAAATACGCATGGACGATACTCATCAGAGTAAGATACTGTACCAGATCAGTAGCCTGAAGTTACCGCAGCCTCAATTTGCATGACAAGTGAATCAGTTTGCAGGCAAATGAAGTTACATGAAGGGTTAATAATGCTTATCGACGATATGATGCCATGGATATCTATTGAAGTTAGGGCTACCTATAGAGAATTACTGCAAACTTTTGGGCTATCTATTGTTCTATTTGCTTTAAGAATTAACAAAAGATCATGAAATGTCTATGAATGCTACATTTTTTTTTCTCAAACCTGATATGTGCAGGTTTAATGGCCACGTACCATGCGAAGAACGAGTACTGCCTTCTTTCGGACATGTGCCAAGGTTATCTCGTTTTTGCAAGCATCATCGCTCAATTAGAGGATTGAAGACAACAAATTTGATTGTTCTCCCCTCAGTAATATCACATTTGAACTGTTTCATGAACATTACCGTATGTTAGTTTGTTTGTTTAATGTGGTCTTTTAGTAAGGAGACAACTTAGGTTTATGTCATAACGTTGTCTTTGTAGGAAAATCAAAAGCACCATTGTTTACAAATATTAATTATATTATTATATTGTTGCCATACTTAATACTTAATACGCTAAAACGTTTTCATCAACATAATAGATAATGTTTATCTATATATTTATAGCTACCCTCGGATTGTTTTATTGCTTTATAGAATTAGGACTGAAATATTGGACCTAAGATATATATTTGACCACAGATTATTGGACACCTAACAACTCTTTAAAACCCATCAAACGGCTTTGATGAAGACCTTGATGAAAAAAAGGATTTTTTTTTCTAGGTATTGAGTTTGAGCAGTTGTCATTATTAAGTGTGTTATGTTATTTTGTTAAGAATAATTTAAATAAATATTATCGTGTAATTATCTTAGATTATTTTAAAAAATACTCTTCACATATCATAATACAATTAATTATGATTTGATCTAATAATTCCATAAAGTCTGCTTCAAAGCATGGAATTCAACTCAAGCTTCTAAATTTGCACAAACTGACAAATGCCAATCCGTAGGCTTACTTACAAGGCAGTGCCATGTGTGACCATCATTTCCCTATGTTTGGGGAGAAAATGAAAGCCTCTCTTATGTTATCAGCTATAGCCTATATATGTGTGTTCTGCTTCTACGGCTGTACAATCACCATTTACCAACCACACCCATTGATGGAGCCAAAGAGGATCACTGAACTTTTTGGCCTCTGCTTGTAAATGAAAAAGCATACAAGCAAACCATCAAAGCCACAAATCTCTTCATTTCTGTCTCTTTGTGTGAAATCCACTCTTCACCAGAGTTGTTGGTACCCAACCACTCCCTTGTGGCTCGTAATCCTACCCTGAGATTCCATTTTTAAGCCTCTTCACCCCTCAAAAGAGAGGAACTTTGAGGGTGCTTTTTGCTGGGAATGCTCCGTCACTTTCTGGTATTGAGTCAGCTCTGCGTCTCCTTTTTGGTTCGTTTCTGAGCTTTGCAGAATTTGTGTTGGATCTGAGTAATGGGTTTTCTTTCTTTTTTCCTTTTTAAGCAGATTTGAGAACTTGGGTTGGGACTTAAATCTGCATCAAATTCGATTCAGTTTCATTTTCTAACGTTCAAGGTAAGATTCCTTCGAATACGTGTAGTATAAGACAACTTCTGGTTTGAAACTCTGTTATGTCTGAATTTCATCTGTTTGCCATAATCTTTTTATCTTTTCAAGTTCCCATTTTCAGGGAAGTACCCCTTGTTTTTTAACTTAAAATGAACTTGCTGATTATACGTCTTGCTTGTGATGTTGTAACTAAAGCAATTCATCTTTAAACCAAATCAACAACAAGAACTAGCTGCAATGAAGATTGTTTCCCTTGATGTCTTGTAATTGAGTTTTAATTGTATTATAAATGATGCATCTTGATTATATTATTGCTTCATACATGCTGCACAGATGGGAGATGTAGCTAAGGACCTAGCATCTGGAACTGTGGGAGGAGCAGCACAGTTGATTGTTGGGCACCCTTTTGATACCATCAAGGTGAAGCTTCAAAGCCAGCCTGCTCCGCTCCCCGGTCAACCGCCTAAGTTTGCTGGTGCTATGGATGCTGTGAAGCAGACTATAGCTGCTGAAGGTCCCAAGGGCTTGTATAAGGGAATGGGGGCTCCACTAGCCACTGTGGCAGCCTTCAATGCTGTCCTCTTTACTGTGAGAGGGCAAATGGAAGCATTGCTGAGATCCGAGCCTGGCGCCCACCTCACGGTTAACCAGCAGGTCATTGCTGGGGCTGGGGCTGGAGTTGCTGTCTCTTTCTTAGCTTGCCCCACTGAATTGATCAAATGCAGGTCAGCTTAATGGCTTTTCATATTCCCTTTTGGGGTTAATTGCTTTTTGGTGCAAATTTTGAGTTGATCTCAAATTCCAAAACGTTATAATCAAATCCCCAAAGTGTCAATATTGTGTCAATTAGGTCCTTTTGTCAACTTAGCTACTAGCCTGGTTGTTAAATGTGAACCCAAATCTAATGTCAAGCAGATTGCAAGCCCAGAGTGCGTTGGTGGCCGACGCTGGCTCAGCTACTATGGCAGTGAAGTATGGAGGGCCGATGGATGTAGCCAGGCAAGTGCTGAGGTCCGAAGGTGGTGCAAGGGGTCTCTTCAAGGGTTTGGTTCCCACCTTGGCTCGTGAGGTTCCCGGAAATGCTGCAATGTTCGGTGTCTATGAAGCATTGAAGCAGTACATGGCAGGAGAAACCGACACATCGAAATTGGGAAGAGGATCGTTGATTGTAGCTGGAGGCTTGGCGGGAGCTTCGTTCTGGGGCTCTGTCTACCCAACTGATGTTGTCAAGAGTGTGATCCAAGTAGATGATTACAAAAATCCGAAATACAAAGGCTCCATACATGCATTTAGGTCGATCTTAGCATCAGAGGGAGTGAAAGGGCTTTACAAAGGGTTCGGCCCCGCCATGGCACGAAGCATCCCTGCAAATGCAGCATGCTTCTTGGCATATGAAGTGACAAGGTCTAGTTTAGGCTAATCAAATGCTGTTGTGGTTAAAAGTTTTAACATTGTTATCATATTTGCTTCTGTCACAGCCATTTTCTGTTGATGAATGATGATGTTTAAATTGGTAATTTTTGGGCCTTTGGATTGGAGTTACAAAAAATAAACCAATATCACAGTGGGGGTCAAACCCACGGCCTTCTGATCCGAAGTTAGACGCGCTAATCCACTGCGCTATTCGGATCCTGATCGCTTATGATTTTGAATTAGTATCTACCGAATTTAAAATATTTGGACCGTTGGTTGGAGTAAACAAAATAGGGTAAACTTATATATTTGACAACCCATTTGTTTTCACATTTTTGTTTGAGCCCCTAAATAATATTCTTTAAAATCATATTTAAGATTACCTTAAAAAATTATATGTATCATCACATTATTTTAATAAAATAATTTTTTTTTATATGTTGTGTAAAACCCTAAACTGATACGACACACAGTCAACAGATTAGAATGCCGCATAGGATCACTGGAGTAGCTAACCCAAAATTTTTCTTCCTAATTACTCATTTAAGAAATGATTTTCAAACCATTTAAATCAAATAATTGGATCATAAATATATACCATAAGTTTATATCGGGGAGCTCCCAAAATACGTATATCAAAATAATAAAAACCGATGGCTCAAAATAAAGTTACAACTTAACTATATAAAAGGATCTACAAATAATACATGCCCTCTAAAGAATAACTCGATACGTACTCTGCTCCACACTTGATATGGAAAGTTGCTGTTCAAAAGGCTCCTCAGACGGTCTACCTAAATACCTCCGCGCGGAAGCAAATTATGAATGATGAGCTCATTAGCCCAGTGCCACACTAACATCTAAACCATATTAAAAACGTTCATCGAATTCTCAAGCTATCAATGACAATGCAACAGTGAGTATACTCGTATACTTCACTCTCTACTCTATGGTAGACATCATGGTGCGATTGAGGGTTTTGTATCTTGAAGCTCACGCGCTCCTCTAGTCTACTGAGGATGAGGTCTGGAATCTCTACGTCGGACACAACACCCTCGACTAACCCACCTCTCACGAGTGTCGGGCCTCGCCTTAGTTAGTTTAAAGTGCCTCACGCATTACCTAAGGATATCCGGACAGTACTAAATCTCGACACCAATATCTTTACTAAAGTAACTCAAGTGTCTCGATTATTTCTCGAGAATCAACCAAGGCTAGTTTTATGTCACCCTAATTGATCTCATTTCTAATTTATTCGAGCATTTATCTTGTTCTCACTTGTAATCTTATTTGAGAGTAATTGTAGAGTTATTGGGAAACCTCATTTCTTCTTAAAGTCTCTTAAATTTTATGCCCCAAAATGTACACTAGTACCGATACTAAGCCTCTCAATATTGGTATTGTCCCTTGAGTATAGATACTCCTCTCAGGGTATGGATACTCTAGTGCCAATTCCTATTGAAAAATGAGTAGTATTAATACTTCTCTGGGGAGTATCGATATTCTACCCTTGGTATCGACATTCCCTCAAGTACCAATACCAAAATTGAGCACTGGAAAAATGATCTCGATACAGCCCTTGGGTCTCAATACTGAACCCTCAGTATCGATAATCCTATAATGATTATAGATACTCTTTCATAAAATCCCTTTGATTTTATGTCTCTCATAAGAACAATATTGGCATTGTTCTTCCAGTATCGATACTCACGCTAGAAAATGCTCTGTTTTGGAACGAATTTGACACTCAAATTTTCCCAAACTATTCTATTAAGGTTCTCAATCATTATTAATGTTTTATGTGATAATAAGAGGTCATAACAGAGGCTTTAGAACATGCTAAAAACATCAAACGTGAAATCTACCATGAATTGCTCAACCATGATTCATAACTTAACTCTTAAGTTAGAACGCATTCAAATGACTCACTAATGGTATGAAAGAGTTGTGTGAATGTGTTACCTTGGTGTTCTAGCATATGGAAACTCTCCCAAATCAACCAAGGGTCAAATTCTCTTTACCACCCCTTGCCTTGTAGATTTCTCCCACCTCTTTCACTAATCAAAGACAAAGTAAATAAGTTACTAACTCATTTAGAAGCTTGGATTGAAGTTAAGGACATTTCTTACAACTTGACTAAAAACTAACAAGAATCACTTAATTCTCTTAAACCTCCCTTAAACCCATTTTTGAAACTATGCCTAAATTTTGAGAATGTGAGGCTTAAATTGAAGCTCTTTGAATGAATATTAACATTCTTACCTTTTCTAAACTCAACTAAGCTTGAATTTCTTAAAGCTTTCACCTATATACAAACTTTGAAGAGAGAAAAGATGAAGAGAATAGGGGGAGTTGTTCATGTGAAATCAAGAAGTTTTTAAGGATTTTTAGCTTTTGAAATAAAAAATGGGTTAATTACTTCTACTCCTCCCTCTTCTACCTGCTATTTAAAATGATCTCACTCATTTAACAATTGAGCCTATCTCAAGCCCAAACTTAATTCAACTTGGTCCAATCTATTTTAAAAGGTTTATTGGGCTCGATTTATAGGTCTCGGGTCAACCCGAACAACTAACCCAGGATTCGGGCGTTACATTTTGATTGAGAAAATTTAACCTTAACGCTCTTTAAAAAATAAGCTAAGAATGCCATTTATATTTTATTTATATTATATTACCATCACAAGATAATTTGTAAATATAGAAGTTGAACCTAAAAACCCTTGCATAAATGCCTAAATGGGAGTAAAATCACCTACGTCTCAAATTCAAATATACTTGCAACGTTTTTTTCCCCAATTTATTGGCCAAGAAAATGGAAATAAACAATACAAAGTATAAAATAATCATGCAAGTAAAGAAAAACAAACTTTATGTTGGGATATTCGGTGAAGCTCAATTGATCAACCAAATGATTTTCCAAGATGGGTTGAACTGGATTTGAGAGAAATCTAGAGATTAAGAAGTTTTAAAGGATGAGAAAATTTAAGCAAAAGGATTTATAGTGGTTCGACTTCTCAACCAAGTCTACATCCACTACCTTAGCTCCTCACTAAGGACTTTTTAACAAATTTACTAATTTGTTCTTTCTTTTTACAGGATAAAGAGATAACCTTTACAAATCCCCTAGCTTTTAAAAGGCTTAGCTAGAACCACTCCCCTTTACAAACGGAATTAGATGTGTAAACAAGAAAACCTCACAATGTAGGTGTTTACAAAAATTAAGCTCACTAAAACAATAATATTTACAAGAGAAAGGAAAATAAGAATGAAAAACTATTCTCTTGTATTTGATTTCTTGGATAGGTGTTCTAACCTTTCTTCAAGTGTCCTTAACTTTTTTTTATATGTTGGAATGTGTTTGTGGCCGTTTATAGCCGTTACGGATAATTTGGAGCCGTTGGGGGTAATTTTCCTGCAAAATAAAATTGCCCAAGACAGGGAGTATCGATACTCCTTTAATGAGTATCAGCACTACCTTTATAATTTTTAAATAAACTAGTCGTTACTAGACATTGGGATGCTCATGGTATCGATACTACTGTACAAAGTAATATCGGTACTCCTTCGAGTATTGATACCTATTTTGCATTTTGGAATTTGAGCAATTCGGAAAACAACTGTTAGTATTGATACTACCTTTAGACTATCGATACTTCTCTTACCTTTGGTTTCGGTACCACGTGGACAGTATCAATATTGTTCATGCAGTATCGATATTGTAAGAATAGTATCGATACTATGTACTCAGAAAATTAGTTTTGTGCTCAAATTCTATTTTAATGGACTTTCAATTATTTTTTAAAACTTTGAACAAATTCAATTCAAGTCCAAAAACATTTTGCCTTAATTTGTCATATCAAAACATTATAAAACATGGTTCAACAATCTCCCCCTTTTTGATATAACAAAATATTGAAAAATTGTTTTTGGCAAAACTCCCCTTAATAAAATATTTAATGCAAAAAGAGAAATATTTGGTAAATATTAAAGCTCTCCCTTTTTCATTCTTGAAATTGAATTTTTCAAGCCTATACTTCTCCCCTTTTTTGTAATATCAGAAATAATTCAAATTTAAAGTTCAAAAATAACAATGGAGAGTATGTGGTAAATTTTAACATAAACTCATTTGAAAAATCAAAGCTCCCCTCGATAAAAGAATTCCAAACAATAGTTTGACTTTAAAGAGCATGACACTTAAAAAAATGAATTTCGTCAAAGATGAACAAACATGTTAGTAGCACAAGAAATTCAATATATCCAAGTCTAAAATACTTTATGCAATACCAAATGTTGTATTTAAGTGTGTATGCATAAAACTATCCAAAAATGTTATGCATTTGAAAAAAATGATATCAATTGTTAGAGAGATATCATTTGAAATAAATCACATGCATAAACGCTTAAATTAAGGTCAAAATATTTAAAGTTTGTTAAAACAAAGCATTTAAAATCAATTTTGACCAAAAATCATTATGATGAACTAAAAATTATGAAAAATCATTAAAACTTTAGAAAATGTTCATCACAACACTTTTTAACATACATGAGATGAAATTATTTAAAATCAAAACTCATTGCATGCATAAAATAAATAGACAACCAATTAATCAAAACAAAAACATTAAGCTTAGAGGTTACTCATTTTTTTCAAGTGTGTCTAGAGCATTTAAATATTTTCACTTTCATCACCATTGCTCCCACACACCTACAAGAGACATTCATTTGGATTTTGGTATCCAAATTGCTTTGGATCCTTGAACATTAGTTTCAATGCCCCTTGTTCCTTTTGGAACTCATGTTTAATTTTAAAATGTTTTCCTTTCTTTAAAGGACACATATGTTCCAAATGACTATGAAAATGGCAATGTGAGCATTTTTCCATTTTTAAACATAATGAGTTGTTTCTAAAATTAATTTTTTTTCTTTTGTTAAGCTTTCAAGCTTAACTTTCAAATCAAAAATTTCTTTTTCTAAATCATTGATTTTGATTTTTGAAAGCTCTAAATCATTTTTCAAAGTTTCATTTTGTTTTCCAAAATCAACTTTTGTTTTCAAAATCAAATCATTATCAACTTTAAATTTTGAAATTAATTTCTTACATTTGGAATTCATGGTCTCAAATTCCAAATACAACTCATTATATGCAACTTGTAACTCATTAAAAGAAAAAGAATTTGATTCACTAGAGCTAGAAGTTACTATTGAATCTTCTTCGATGGCCATGAGGCATAGGTTGGGTACTTCATCTTCATTATTGGATTCATCTTCATCACTCCAAGCCGCCACAAAGGTCTTCTTCTTACTTGATCCTTATTCTTTAGGAGTGAACAATCATACTTGATATGCTCCGTTCTTTGACAATTGAAGTACACCGAGGGACCCTACTTTTTGCTTGATTCATGCTTCATTCCTTAGAAGTCATGAATCTCTTGAATCTTTGGAATAGCTTGGAAATCTCTTATTCTTCATCATCATCTTCATCCACCTCTTCACTTGAGTCTTGATTGCTCTTATTGGTGGATTTGAAGGAAATGTCTACCTTCTTCTTTTTCTTGTTTTTATTTTCTTCATCTTCTTCTTCTTCCTTCACCATCAACTCATGAGTGAGAAGAGAACCAATAAGCTCATCAAGAGTGAGAGACTTTAGGTTCTTAGCTTCGATAATCGTTGTCTTCTTCGATTGCCAAGACTTTGGAAGAGAGTAAATCATATTCCTCACAAACTTCTCATTAGGGATTACTTCTCTATATCCCTTGAGACCGTTGACAATCACGAAAAATCTATCCATCATAGCTTTTATGTCTTTATATGGTTTCATATTGAAATTCTTATAGCTATGGTTGAGAAGACTGATTTTGGCTTCTCTTACTTCATTGGTTCATTCATGAGTGACTTGGAGCTTGTCCCAAATCTCCTTGGCATTAGAACAAGAGGAGACTCTTCCATATTCATCCAGGTCTACTGCACAAAATAGAATGTGCATAATGTAACACCATAACCCATATATGTCATACGAGCCACAGATGTCACATCAACTCAACTAGCATTTGCGAAACTTAAATGCTTAAAAAAATTTGTTTCACTTAATAATTTCCTTTTTTTACTTTAAAAACTTTTTCCTTAATCACATAAAATTATAAAATATTGTTTGATCATTGAAAACTAATTTAATTTCAGTCAGTAATTAGGCAGTTCAATGTTGTTTCACATCCGAATACCACTGCCTAATAATGCTTGATTTTAAATCATTTAAAATATAACATTTATAATATTCACTCATAAATATTATTAATACTAAAATTAGATGAAATTAGAGAAAATAACCCTAATTACTATTACAAACCATTTTTTAAAATAAATTTGTAAAGCAACCCAACAAATATAATGTACATGCCACTAATAGGTCAAAGTTAGGATGTCTTACTGATACCGTCGGTAGGTTTGATTTTGTGTAAGATGCTGGCAAGCTCCTCACTTCACAACCTCTACTTTATTCGAACCTACGCATGAAAATCATCACGCACTAAGTAAAACTTAGTGAGGAAGAAATATAACTAAAGTGATATAAAAATCATAAATTTCATAAAATATAAGAAACAAATTGTAATTTAAATAAAAACATTAAACTTCAAACCAGGCTAGTCAAGCGTTTTTTCCTTCTGAAAAACCTGAAAAAATCATCATCTCATGATTTTGTCAAAAGTCATGTAAGTCAACATCGAATATCATAAATAACTTTTGCTCTTTTTTATTCGAACATATTTAAAAACTTTCTTTTTGATTCTATATTTCTTTCTTTCATATACTATCATAACTTTCACATTTACTATTATAGCCCAATGTATATGTAAGAGAATATAAGGCATGTGAGTTTAAGGTGCGCATTGGGCACAACACGATGTCGAATCATAACTGAAACTGAGATATGATACACTTTAGTGCAACCATAACCTGAATAAGCACCAACGGTGCTGAACATTGATACACAAATGTACCAAAACTGAACTGATAACTGAACATTTATACACGAATGTACCAAAACTGAACTGATAAGTTCTCTCTTAATGGCATGCCAAATGTACCTACGACTCTCAGTGCAACATACAATGTGCTTATATTTATTATCATAGAATCATTTATTAATATGTATCTGATAACTATAAAATCATCTGATAATTGTAAACATTTAGAACTCATCATCGTAAATATCATACTTGGACAGTTCATACCCAAAATCATTCATAAAACTTCATGAAATTTTTATAGAAATATTACATACTAAAAATTTATAAATCATACTGGAAAATAAAATAAGGTTGACTTATCGCAAGTCGTCATCGACTATAATAATTGTCATAACCATTTTTTTGAAAAACAATTAATAATTATTTTAAAAACAATCATGACTTTAATTTGGAAAATTGTTGATTTTGTATTGATTAGGATTTAAATTGAAAAGGAGTCGCCATCGACCTTTGGGTTAGGTAGGTCGAATACCTAAAAACGTCTTTTAAAATTTTTTTAAGGAAAAATCATTTTTAGTCCCAAAAAAAAACTGGTCTGCGATTACAAAGATTCGATGTAACGGGTCCAGGAGTCGGTTACGTGCGGGGAACGATAAGCACCCCCACAACGCCCAAAAATTGGTACTTGCTATCTTACATGTTGTCTTAATGATGGAAAGTATGAATCGAATATAAAGTTAAATTATGATCCACTTATTAAAAAATTGATTAACTTACTTCAAGTTAATTATTTAAAAGAAAATCCTTTTACTCGATAAGAAATCTTGAAATTCGCAATCCTCCGTTGGGAAAGCTATCTCAATCGTTTCTTATTTGTAAAAGAATATTATATCTTTGAATAACGCATATCTAAATAAAGATGAATATTGACATTTGCATAAAAACGCATTGAATCATTCACATAAAAATAATTAATTAATAAAATAAAATAGATTTATTTCAAGTCTCATTTAGTTCGAACATCGTATCGAATTGTACCACTTCGATCAAGTGATAATTTCCACGCCCATTCTACAAATACGTGTTCTTGAAAATATTTGGATAATATTGCTAAATAAGGTAATAAAGTAGAAACAAATATGATTGCAAATGTAAAATAAAATATTTACAACACAATACTAATAACATTTATTTAATAGGATACATATAACTACATAATAAGTGAAATGTGTACATACATAAGGGACTGAAATAAAAACAATTAAATATTACAAACCAAAATACAAATAGACCAAAAAATAATTACTTGGTAATTACAAGGACCAGGATGAGAATAACAGTAACTTTAAGGATCAAATAATAATTACAAACAAATTAGAACCAAGATTGAATATATCACATAATACATGCACTGGAAATGTAAATAACCTGAAAATACTATAAAGGACTAAAATGAAATAAACAGAACTATAAAGGACCAAACACAAATTAAACTAAATGCCAAACAGTGACTAAAATAAAATATTTACAAATGTCATATCCAAATTCGAACAACATCAAAAATACACAATACATTAAATCAGTGACTAAAAATGGAAAAATAAAAACATATCCTGCTTAAGTACAAATAACATTAAAGTACAATGACCTCAGCATAAATATATACATACACATGCTTAAAGGCTAATAAGGGCTAAATTGCAACATTCATAAAACAAGTGTTCAAAATAAAAAGAAATAAAATGTTCATTAATGACCAGGATGAAATATTATACAAATCAGAAGGACCTTAAATGGAGTTTACCCACGCACTAAAATGCTTGACAAGTCCCCCTCTAAACGACATCATTTTATGCCTAATATATATAACATCTTAGGCCAAAAAATGACCACCCATCTCATTTGGTTTCATTTGAAATGAGAGAAGGGAGAGAAAGAGTTATGAGCACTCTTTCAACTCTCTCATCGGAAGAGAGGAAGGTCACCGCTGTCGGTGGCGCTCACGGCGGCTGGAGAGAGGTAACCGCCTCAAAAGTTTCCTCTCCTCACCCTCGACTCGAAAGCCAACATCATTTAGCCAAAAAATGCCCCTATATCCCTAGATATAAGGGTTTTCCTCTCGAATACTTGGAAAACCTGCGACCTTTGGCTTCCCGATGCTCCGAACGGGGGTAATAACTCTCTCTCTCTTTCTTGTTTGGTTTCAGTGGTTTTTGTTTATTCTTCTCTATTTTTCTCTTTGGTTTGATGTTTGAGTTCAAATGGATTCCCTCTCTCTCTGTATTTTTTCTCTCAAAACCCCCTTACTGAATCTTGATATCTTCTCTGTCTTCCGTTTTTATATTGCTTCAGTGATTGGTGATTGATGCTAGCTCTTCGTAGGGAATGATTCCCTATGTTAATGCTTTTAAAATTTCTGATAAACTCTTAGATTTGATGAGATTTACTTCTCCATTTTACTATGGATATGATTTGTTGTCACTGTTTGGTGTAGATGGGTCTGATCGGCTCCAATGGTGGAGGGCAGCGAGGGAGCTGGGTGTGGGTTATCTTAAGTGGCGATTGGCTATCTAGGGTTTTAAAAATCCTAAGGTTAATCGGGTCGGGTCAGATTCTCTCTTTGGGCCAGTTCGTGTTAGTTGATATGGTTGTAATTGGGCTCTGGCTCCATTCGGGTCTTGGTTGTAACTGGGCTTCTGGGTGGGCTTGCTTGTAATGGGCCTACAATGTAAATTAAAATTTAATAATAATAATAATATTATTATTATAATAATATAAAAATAAAATTTTTGTAAACCCAAACAAAAACGGGTGTCTATAGCTTCCCCTATTTGCACATTTTTGTGTTAACAAGAATAGGGTAAAGACGAAAAAGACAACAAGTTTTTGTCTGGTTTTTTTTTGTTTAAAAATTTGATAGTGTTTATTGTTGGGGACGACACTACTCATACGTGATGAAGAGTTCTGGTCGTCTAAGGGTGACACGACTCCTACGTGATGAGGAGATATGGTTGGTGGATGACACGGTTCCTACGCGATGAGGATGGTAGGCCATCTTTAGGGAGTGTGATAACACGGTTCCTACATGATGAGGACGACTGGCTATCTAGGAGTTACACGACTCCTACGTGATGAGGAGGCCTGGTCGGTGGATGACACGGTTCCTAGGTGATGAAGATGACATGCCATCTTTAGGGATGATAACACGGTTCCTACGTGATGAGGAGGACTGGTTATCTAGGGGTGACATGGCTCCTATGTGATGAGGAGGTCTGGTAGGAGGATGACACGGTTCCTACGCGATGATGACAACTGGCCATCTTTAGGGGTTTGTTTCAAGGGAAACAGACTCAGAGATGATCTTTCAAGAGAAATTATCTCAAGAGAGACAAAATTCATTTCAAGGGAAACGATCTCACATATTTGACTTAAGGAAGACTGTCTCAAGTGAGACAAAGTTTGTTTGTTTTAAAAAAATCTCAAGTGAGATCAACTTTGTTTCAAGTGAAGCAAATTCGAAATTTGTATATCAAAGGAAAAATGTCTCAAGCGAGACGAAATTTGTTTTGAAAAGAAATTGTCTCAAGCGAGACAAAATTTATTTTTATAAAATGTCTCAAGTGAGAAAAAAAATTTATTTGAGAAAAACACTCTCAAAGGTGATAGACAACCTGCTTGTTCCTGCATGTTGAGGAAATGTCTTTAAAAAATCTGATTGTTGAATTTAGGAAGTCAAATTAATGTTTTTTCATGTTAGAGACGTCTGATCATTTCCGAACACTGATTTCTTGAAAGATCAAAACGATGCATTTCTGACTATCTTGGATGTTTACGATGGATGTCATGATAAAGTTTATTTGATGTGTTTGATATGATGAATTATTGATTTTTTCCTCAAGAGAGGGGAAAATGTCTTTAACACACATGATAATGAATGTTTGATGCAAAGATGCAAATTTGATGTATCATATATGTATGTGTTGATGTATATATGTGCTGATGTATGTTTTCTCGATCTGGAAGAAGAATGGTTGCTAGAGCAGTCTTCACTCTATCCTTGATTCAATTTGTCTTCATTTTGACCAAGGTGTACTCTTGCAAACCTCGACCTGAGACGATTTGCTTTCCTTTCCCCAACTTCGATCTTGAGCTTCTGAGAGATATTCGTTGAATTCCAATATACTTCAAGAGAACTTATCTTGTTTGAAAATTTTTTCTTCCTTTAATTTTCAAAATTTTGAAAATATCAAAAGAATTTTGAAAAAAAATATTACCTCATTCTAAGTTTCACAGTTGAAGCAAATCATAAAACATGAATTCATTGAATATCAAAAGAATCAACTGCTCTTTTATCTTTGATAGCTACAAATCTTTGACAAATATCAAGATCGAAAGGTTGGTTTTGAGGTTGGTACATACATTTTGTGGTTTATTTCATCGATTCAGACATCGTGAAGATCATGGCATGCCCCTCTTTCTTGGCTTGGCATTTTAATCGGAGGCGGACAAAATGACACAACTAGCATAGTCAATTGCTAGACTTTTTAGAACACTTTTGTTTCAGTTCTCTGAAATCTTCCATTTTTTCAAGCTTCTAGGCTCCTCTAGCCAAGGTAGTGTAGAAATATCAGTCTAAAAATGAGATTTATGAGTGCTCGTGTGAATTGACTATAACAGGTGTTCCTCAACTCCCTTAGTCCATATTTACCGAAACTCCTTATTTAATAAATTTGACTTAACTTGCTTTTGTTTGGCTAGCTGAATTCAGCTTTATTGTACATATATATCTTATAATTGTCTTTGTTTTGGCTAGCTAAAAGATTCATGTCATCACAAAGTCTTCGACTTGACAACCACAGTGGAGCAAACACTAGATTGCCAAGTACCCAATCAATGTCATGGTTTGAATGTAATCTTTTCATAAAGCCAGGGCTTTCGAGTTTCCTTTATAATCAATTGCTTTATCGGAATAGCTCAGCTTTATTGTATACTTATATATATTTTCTTGGGTATACAGATTCCATTTTTTTAAGCTTGTCAAGAAGAACCTGTTATAGTCCATGTGTTTGTTAAAGGTCAGAAAATATCATTGTTAGAGTTCAATTCCCAAACAACTGACCTAAACTAGATTCACATATTCGACCATTCCATCTGAGAAAATCATGATCATCATTGAACGTCATTAACAGAAGTATAAACCAATTAGTTTTGTAATCTCATATGCTAGTTGCCCCATTTTGTCCACTCCTAACACATACCTAAATGCCAAACCCTTGATTGACTCTCCATGTAAAGAGAAAGCTAACTTGGTCCCTTCAAGAAAAGGGTATGTACCCTGATGTTTATTTAGATTAGGATCAAGGGGTCCTTGTTTTTCTAGGGTTCAATATTGTCATTTGTTAAAGATTTACAACCTCAATTATTAAAAAGCTTTTAATTAAAATGATATTCAAAGAATTTCAAGATTGAAATTTGCTCGTTGTTTATTTCCTAAGAATGAAGCATTTTATTGAAAATGTTTGAACGTCAAGTGACTTACAAACATTTAAACATAGAAGTACAAAAGAAAAACCAGTTGAAACAAGATGACATTCATGAGAATGCAACAAAACTCCTGATGGATGCCCTAGTCAATTCCCAATCAGAATGCCCCATCACACATTGAATGTCAATGCCCCTGAATCGATCAGATCTTGGACCTTGCACTTCAATGCCCTACAATTCTCAGTGGTGTGCCCTGAGCTCCCAATATGATAGCTGCATATGGCGTTAATATCATGGCCTTCAGGATATGGGACCTCTCTTGGTTTGTATTGAACTGGAGTCAAAAGGTTCTTCTCAACTAGCGTTGGGAACAATTCCTCATATATCATTGGTATTGGATTGATGCGAGTCTTTTCATAAAATATTTTATGAGGTTTGGTCCCATATCATGTAGTTGATATATGGAGATTTCAATGTGCCAATGAATAGAGTGATGAACTCCTTTTCAATCATCAGTGGATGCACTTGAGATGCAACATCCCTCCATCGTTGTGCATATTGTCGAAAGCTCTCATCACTTCTCATCTCCATATTTTGCAGTGTTGTTCGATCAAGAATAATATATCAGTCATGTTCTTGTATTGATCCAGAAAGACACGAGCCAAATCCTTCAAAGAGCAGATTTGAGTACGACTCAGTTGATTATACCACCTAGAAGCGGGTTCAGTCAAACTATCCTGGAAGCAATAGATCAACATCTGATCATTGTTGGTGTATCCAGTCATCCTTCAAACAAATATCGTGAGATGAGCATTAGGGCAACTGGTTTTATTGTACTTCTCAAAGTCGGGCATCTTGAATTTGGGCGGAAGCACTAAGTCGGGAACTAAGACTAGTTCACTTGCATCCATCTCATTGTGAGAACTCTGTCATCTCATTCACAGGAATGTCTCTCTACACCACTTTTTCAAATTCTACGGGATCTCATTGTTGGCTCTTTTCATCTCGTTAGAATTTGGCATGTTGCGATCAGTAGAATTATCCCAAGGATTTAACATGGTTTTTTGAGTTTTAATGGAGAAGAAGCCTACTAGGTGTCTTGGAAGCTTGTGGGGTAAAATGAGTATCGGTTGATTAGAATGGGCCATAACACATTCGGAGGTTCCTCTGGTCGAGGCAATATTCTCTTTACCTCTTTCTTGGTTGAGCCCAGTCAGTTTAGCTACAATTTGATCAACTAGGTCATTTTGGTTTTCTAAGATACACTCCATGGTGGCTTTTTGTGTCTGCTCTATTTTGGATTCCCACTCTATTTGTATCTTTCAAAAATTCTCTTCCAGCTCTTTCTTCAGCATCTCAAATTTTGCATCCATTCTCAGTACTGTGTGACGAAGTTGAACAGTTAGAATCATTTCCTCAAAGTCCCCCATGAGATATGATTAATGTATATAAAAATGCTTAAATGAATGTCATGCAAAATGTAATGATGCAAATGCAGATGCAAAAAATGTTGATCCCAACGGTGAATATCATAGAATAATTTTCACCAGAAATAAAAGTCTTCACATCACAAGACAATCCATTTTACAGACATGTTTTCATTTAGATGTTGAGTCTGGAGTGTAATACCCCAAATATCAGGTCAGTGACATTATTGGAAAGATTTAGAATTTGAGGATCTATTTAAATAATTGATAAAAGATAAGAAATGATTTGGAATAATGTTTAGGACCAATTAGTAACAATGGATGAATATAGAGGGCATTTTGGTCTTTTAGTGGAAAGGCACAACAGTGTTATTTAAGATAAACTTTAGGTCAGGATGCCACCAATTAAATATTTTAGAGGATGTTAATAAAGGCACCAATGTTTATATAAATTAAGTTGGGTAAAAATTTATATAGTTTTTAGAGATGCATCTCCTAACAGCTTAGAAAGGGGTACTTATGCAAAAAGATAAAGTTGTGGCATATGCCTCAATAAAGTTAAAGACTCACAAGAGGAATTTTTGTTTTAGAGTTGGTAGCAGTCGAGTTGTTTTAATTAATGGACGTC